CAATACTTTTTTAAATAGCTTAATTTTGTCTACATGTAACTAATGTTTAACAAAAAGAAGTGTACACTGTACAGTGTTGATTATTTAAAGTTGGGCCTCCTTAGTTCCTTGTCAAATGAGCGGTTGTTTAAGAGCATTTTTTAAAGACAATATGAAACCAATTGTGCTGGAGGATCATTTGAGACGATGCCACCCAAATAGAAAGATAAAGGTTTGAAAAACTTTCGATCACTCAAAAATAAAGTTTAGAATAGACACCACAAAATCTGTATTCAACATCATATAGAGAAGATGTTGGTATATGATCGTCTTACAAGATCTCTTATAGCCAAATACGGAAACTATTATAGAGATTAGCAGTTGAAATAGTTTTAAATCTACATCTGAAATTATGGAAATAATTTCTTTAAATAATAATACAATTCAAGGGCACATAGGTTGTATAAGTTATAACATTTAAAGGGTCTTTGCAAACGATATATACAGTTTGGGGTCAGCGGCGTTGCAGGCTCTGACAGGTGTAGCGCTGTGGGCTGCAGGCTACTTATTTTTCCTCAGGGTTGACCCTCGAAACCTTTCCCATGTTAGGGTCTAGTTGCAAGGCATTAGAGGTTCGAGTTAAGTTTTTCTTCTGCTAGGTGGGTTGCAAGCCAAGGCTAATGAGTCCCTCTTGCCCAGAGTTTACAGGTTTAGACGCCAGTTACTCGCCTTCGCCCCTTCTGTTAGTGAAAACAGTTCCGCGGACCAAATATTTAAGCCACATGAAAAATCAAGAAATACACGTGAAACTGCTCTTTGTGAAAACTTTAACTATGAATCTTATGGTAAATTGATTAATTAATTAATATTTTATGTTTGAAGGACTACTTCATATAGTGATAAATCTCTAAATGTCACATAGTATCCGAAGCAAGGGAATGAAAGAAATATTTCCAGTGTGTTTGGTGATTCCAGTAATACATATTAATTGATATTTTAATTGGTTTAAATTTGAATTTTATAAATAAAAAAGACAGATCTCTCTAACTTGAAATGAAGCTTTAAATTACTTTTTAATTTTTTGATTCACTACAGTTTGAAGTTAGTTTTTTTAAAAAGTAGTTGATGAATGAGCAAAAAGAAAAGATATACAAGTTAGACAGGGGGTCTACCGAAAACCACAAAACAAGGCAAAGTGTCTACGAGACAAAAAAATTTGGGAACCTCTGGTCTAGAGGATGTTATAAATGACCTTTGACCTTTGCTGCACAGAAAGCACGACGTGAGGCGATATGAATTGAGATTTGTCACTTGTGCATTATCTCGCCAACAAACAACGGCAGACCTATTATTCAATAAAAGAGTCTTAACGATTATTTTTTAATATTGATTTTACTTATATACTCTGTACCATTAGGAATTTAGACAAATATTTATAATTTACACTATCTCATGTCGAATGTCACATTCCAGGGGTCAAGCCCTTCTGGGCTCCCAAATAGCTAGCTACGCCACTGTGGGAGGACAAGTCCTTCAGGCTCTATTCCCTATCAGAGTTCATCTCAGGTGACGATAATGAAACTGAAGCGAACTTACAGTTGTAGAAGGGGCTGAGGTGGTTGAAACTGATAAGGAACAGCATTTAGAGTTAGATTTTACTTGTAGAGGATCGCATAATAGATAGAACATTAAAACAAGCAATATATATATATATATATAATATATATATAAATCCTTTTTTTTTAATAGAAAAAAAGCTAATCTAAAGGGAACGAACTCGTCCTTAAAACTATATCTACCAAATAATAATATCTTCTTATCTTATATAATACAGACGTTACTTCAAAAAAGAAGATGATTACGTCACTGGTTTTCCTGGCTAGCTCAGGCAACCCATTCCATGCTCTAATAGCACTAGGGAAAAAGGAGTATTTGTACTAATTTGTCCTAGCACATGGAACGAGGAATGTGCCTTTATCTTTGTGTGTTTCAGAGTATTTTATTAAATTTTATTTTTGTATTTGAAGATTATAATTCAGTGTTATATGTATAATTGCTACTTTACTTGTGAGTCTTCTGTCCTGAAGGCTTTCTAAATTTAGTGATTTTACTAAAGGTGTTACTCTAGTCAAATGTGAATATTCGTTTGTTATGAATCTCACTGCTCTATTTTGTGTCTGTTCCAGTTTCTTAATGTTTTCTTGAGTTGAGGGGTCCCAAACGGAGAATGCATATTCTATAACACAATAATTATTTACAAATAATTAATTGACTAATTGAATATTTTTGTTTATTGATTCATGTCTTGTTTGGTATAATAAATAATTGTTTACAGTATCAACTTGATCGGAGAATGCGTGAAGGATGAATAGCGTGAACAAGTATTTATGGGGACTGAACCCAACAAATTTAACAAAATATGCGAATACCGGAGCATTAGTTTCCCTTGTTGCTTTAAATAAAATAATGAATTACCAGTAATTAATTGTCTAATTGGTTATATTTTTTTTATTGATTCATGTCTTGTCTATGTCAATGAATAATTGTGCGAAGTTTCAGCTTGATTCGATGGGTGTGGTAGAAATAACGCTAACACACTTTTAACCAGACAGAGTGAGTTGATATAAGCTTTGTAAAAAAAAAAAAACTACACTGCATTAGCATGCCGAGGTGGGGATCCTAGTAGTACTATTAGAGCAGTGATTCCCAAAGTGGTCTATATAGACCCCCCGGGGTCTACGAGGACTTTCAATTGGGGGTCCACGACGGTGGATCTCATTGAAGCATAGAGAGACTTTAAATTTTATTTTCCATTAATGATTTGTACCTTAGTTAATCCTGTAACCCTGTTAGTTGAATGAATTTTGTTTATTTTAAAATTATAAAATCTTATTCTAAATAACTTAACTGTGTCTACATGAAAGTAATATTGTACATGGCCGAGTCTTCAAATAACTGTAGTAAGTCCAGTGTTGGTTATTAGAAATTCGTCTTCATTCATTACTTGTCGAACAAGCAATTGCATCTGTGCTTTTTATGTAACAAAGTTTAAAGTTATTTAGCTATGAAACCATTAAATGTAGAACATCATTTTCGAACACTTTAAGTTCAGAATAGAGCCACAGTAGAGAAAAAGTTTGATTAAACATCACAAAAGAGAAGAGGTTTGTGAGTGTCTTACGATATTTTTATTTAGGCCTATATCAAACTCCAGAAAACTGCACACTATAGGCCAAAAATTGACTTTCTAGACATTGAAGAGGTTTTGAAACGTGTTTTACACATTCCAATATTTGATATGTTGATAAAAATTCCTCTAAGCGACAATACAGTTTAAAGGTCAAATGAGTTAGTCAGTGATGCACAAAATACGGCCCGCTGGCCACATCCGGCCCGCAACGTTGCTCCATCCGGCCCGCCGAAACGTTGGCTAAAAGTGTAGAAAATCCCCTCTCGTAAAAAAAAAGTATTTTTCTCTACGTTAGGGTAAATGGATTGGTACCGATAATATTTCGTTTTATAAAGATAGAGTGGCTCTTTTAAAGGATGTCGACAGCTTTATGAAACCAAACACAAATAAATAAGGCGGCAGTTTTGGTTTCAGACGCGATTGCTAGATTTCACCTAGAAAGAAGGGTTGATGAGAATATTTAGGAAATATTTTTTTTTCCGACGGCGAATGCATAAAAAAGTGATTTCTATCAGAGATGGAAGAACTGTGTTCTGAAACAAAAAAAAATCTTTTTAACGTCGTCAACTTTTGACACTACAAGGCGAGAGAAAGATATGGCTAGATATCTCCATCCAAATGTAACAGACAAACCAGATTTCAGAATGTTTTTTTTTATTGCCTCTGACGAGTCTATCGACATATCTGATACCTCTCAAAATCATGGTATTTATTCGCGTAAAAAAAAACCCAGTAATTTTTAAATCATAGAAGTTAGTATAAGAAGCATGCATAGGACCACCACTAGCAAAGTCCTGTCCAAGAAGTTTTGACCATTACAGAGGATCTTTCACTTGCTTGGGAGAAATTAGTGGAAGTGACTTCTGATGGTGCAACAAGTATGGTTGACTGCAAGAGTTAGAAAAGTTGTTTAGTCAAATGGAACCAAGCCTCTGTGGCTTCATTGAATTATTCACCAACAAAATCTATGTGGCAAGGTGTTCAGTCTGGACCATGTGATGATGATCATGTTCAGACTGAACAAAGTTCTTCGGATCGTTTCGAAAATCTATCCGTAGCCAATGTGTCAAGTGCCCAGAAAGAGCTGCAACTGATTGACTTACAAAGTTAAACATCATTACTTGACAACTTTCCAGTGATTTAGATAGTGGATGTCTACTATGTGTAGCTTGCAGAAACATTTCTAAATCTTTTTAAACAAGTGTTAACTCTTTCAGTGCGAATTATTTTGATAGAAAAAAATTGAGTTTTTCATCATTTACTTGCTGAGAGTAACGCCGCACTGAAAGAGTTAACGTTGATAGCAATAATGACTTATTTGTGAGAACAAACCTTTTCAGTGATGAATCGGGTGACATATTACCTAATCCTCTCACAGACAAACATATAAAGTTGTAGATTCAATGCTTAACTCGGCGTCTCGTCTATGTAGCCAGATATTTAAAGGTTGGCTTAGGATAAACTTTCATGACTCATTGTAAGTACTAGATACACTGGTTTCTAATACAAATGGTTCATTGACTATTTCCTGTTGTTTTTTTTTTATGCTTTGTTGATGTGGCCCGTGAGACGATTGTAGGAAATTAAAGTGGCCCACCGACCGAATAAGGTTGAGCATCACCGAGTTAGGACATTGAAAGGTTCTCTATGTGATTATTAGCAAACGTCATAGTTCTAAAAAAAAAAAGCTGGACTAGTTAACCTTGTCTGATAATATGCGTTATAAGATAAGTTAGGATAAGATAAGATAAATGTAAGTCATTCCCTAGTAAATCCCTTGACGTGTTTGAAAGTAAAAATTGTTTTAACAATGTTGACATGATACTATTGTCTACGGCCATACCACGTCGGAATCAGTGGTTCTCGTCCGATCACAGGAGTCAAGCAAAGTCCAGCGTGTTTAGTACTTAGATGGGTGACCGCTTGGGAACACAATGCGTTGTAGACATTTTTTTAGGCGCGGTGGCTGAGCGGTAAAGCGCTTTGCTTACGAACCGGGATTCGAATCCTGGTGAAGAGTGGGATTTATAATTTCGGGTACTTCGGGCGCCTCTGAGTCCTCCCAGCTCTTATGGGTATCTGACATTAGTTGGGGGAAAAGTAAAGGCGGTTGGTCGTTGTGCTGGCCACATGGCACCCTCGTTAACCGTAGGCCACAGAAACAGATGACCTTTACATCATCATCCGCTCTATAGACCACAAGGTCTGAAAGGGGGGAACTTTACTTTAGTTTTACATGATACAATGACTCGAGTTTCAACAGTCAACAATGGAGAGGAGAGTCATTAACTCTTTCTCTCCTAATTGACGCTACCAACGTTGATTCCACCAGAATGTGGTAAATAATTACGGAGAGAAAGAGTTAAAAGCAGTCTTGTCGAGCTAGTTATCTCTCTACTTAAAGTACGATCTATAAAAATGCAATAATAGCAACGCTTTACCCCCCCCCCCCTTTTTTTTCTCCTTATTTCTTATCGGGTATTTAAGAGAAAGGTCACTGATTATCACTGCATCACCTTGAAGTCTCGTCTGGAGGAACAACAAAAGAACATTGTTCAGTCCATCTAGCAGACAAAATAAAAGAACACATTGCTTACATGTGGTTTACATCCGCACACAAAGACTGAGTTCGAATATTACAAGATTCTACAGATTAGAAACAAACATTCCCGTTTCCTGTTTAGACGCCATGATTTACAATAAGCGGATGAGAAAAGATCTAGACCTTTAGGAGTGTAACCAGATAGCGACAATATGTTAATAAATAGCTTTTCAGTTTTCTAATGCACAGCCATGTTAATAGAATTTGACCTTTTTGAATAATCTTCTGTGTTAAGTAAAAAACAACAACGAAAAACAACTTTTCAAGGAGGAGAACTCTACATTCACATCAAAATACACACACACACATATTTTGTAAGATTTATTTCCCTTTTTGATATCAAAGAAAATTAATTAATTACCACAATTTAATTAATTAATTGGCTAATGTTTTTGATTGATTCATGTTTTGTTTGGAACAGTGAACAATCGTGCAAAGGTTTCAACTTAATCCGAAAATGGGAAGTTGCAGAAATAACGTAGAAAGTTGTACCAGACAGACAAACAGACAGACAGAGGTCGTATACACTTTACAAAAAGAAAGTACAAATATTGATTGGTATTTATCCCATGGTTTTAGGGACTTGGTCTGGAAATAGCTGAGATCGTGACTGACAATGTTACAAATGTATTCCAAAACAATTCAACAGATGTATATCTGAAATATTCAGTCTATACCAAACATTCAGTCTATCTGAAACATCCAGTCTATCTGAAACATTCAGTCTATCTGAAACATTCAGTCTATCTGAAACATTCAGTCTTAAACATTCAGTCTATCTGAAACATTCTGTCTGCACTAATACAGGAAATATTTTTTATGAACAATAACATTCATGATCTATAACAATAACATTCATGGTCTACGTGTTAGCGTTTGGCTATTTAAGGAATTATATCGGAAGTACTTTAATGGCTGTTTTTTTTATGTTCTCATGTGTTGACTACTTGTGTATTGGTGTCCTGTGTATTGGTGTCCTGTGTATTGGTGTCTAATGTATTGCTCTTTGGGAATGCTATCATTCAGACGCGCACATATCCTGACAGTACTTTTTTTTTTTTTTTTTTTGGAAAAAAAAATTGAAAACAAGATTTTTTTAAATACTTAAAAACAAACAAAAACAAATCTTATCTAATGCTTATAATCATTTAGAACTATATGTCCCAATAATGGAGAATTTATTTTCCTTCTTCAATATCAGACTTAATAATTAATTACCAGTAATTAATTGACAAATTTTTTTTTAAAAATTTATTCCTGTTTTGTTAGGTACAGAAAATTATGTTTTAAAGTGTTTCAACTTGATCCGAGAATGGGTGTGGGAGTAATAATGTGTACAATTCTCTAATTGGACAAAACCCTAAATATTTAGCCATACCTCTGAACACTGAAAAATTAATTTGTCTTGTCGGTACAAATAAATAATTACCGGTAATTAATTGTCAAATTGGTTACTTTTTTTTATTGATTCATGTCCAGACCAGACATACTGGAATGCATAATCAATCTTAGATTATATCTAGTCCTCTAAGTTTCTCATGAGCTCACTACAATGCTGTGTGGCCTCAATCTTGGGTTGAAGACAAGTTAACATCTGGAAACCGGTACCGGTCTGTCAACTTGTGGAGGTTTATCTGTTAGTGATTTGGGAAAGCGGTCATAGTAATAAAGTTCCTTTGGAACCTTGAGCCTGTATACAATGGCGTGGTACTTATGACTGAGTGATGTACACGAACAATCTTCTGTGTTGATTAGTCCGCTTAGTGGTACATAAAAACAGTTTAAAGAATTCAAACGCACCAACAAAAACATCTATATTTCTTGCAACCTCTGGGCTTCCATAGGAAATAAGGACAGATCCTTCTGAAAGAATCCCATTATCTTTCGTTCGTCTACAACAGAAGACAATGGACAACCACGTGATGGTCAAGTTTGGACAGTTCATGAACAATTTTAACGTGAACTGTTGTTAAAACCGTAACTTATGTTAGTGTCTTGTGTGTTGTTGGCAATGTCAACAGGAGGAGGCTTCCTATCCTTGGCCTAGGAGAAACAAAACTCTGATGAATTCAAACCTCTACTCCCTTGTACCAGTACCCAAGCATGAAAAAAGCTTCGGGAGTCAACTCTAAACAAAAATCAGAAGCTTCGACCCTCAGGTAATCTTGCAGCTATACCCTGGCAGAAAAAGCTACGCCGCTGATCCAAAACTGTATTACTCCCTTTTGATATATCAGCTGGTGGAGATAAAAGGTGATAAAAACATATTTTGTACGTAAAAAACAAAATGTACATATATATACGAAATATGTTTATCACGTTTTAGTGCTTTTTTTTTTAGTCATAACACATTATTTATAGAAAACCTTCCAATGACGACATTACCTCGTAGCACGAAAACCTCGTTTTGAGTCTACTTTTATCTTCAAATCACGAATACTCTCTGACGAATGTCTCTTATTTGTGAGCCCACTTCTCACTCGATGGCGTAGGAGAATTCCTTGTCTACTGTGTCTACTAAGTTTCATCGAAATTTCCAATCTTTCGTGACCGATTCACTATTTCATTTACAAAAAATTAGCATTCATCTAAGGCGTATCCTCAGTGGAGTAAACGTGTTTACTTTCATACATATAATTCATTAACATTTTAAGGATGCGCTTGTATATGCTCAGTGGTATTAATGAAGCGCCGCCTCTTTAAAAAAATTTATTGAAATCATGATGAATGGACGCTAGAGCTTATGTTGTAACCAATGATCCAGTCAACTGGCGACGCCTCTGAGATGAACGTGATGTTCTGAGATCCTGTTGACCGTGAAACTCAGTGAAGGATTAAATGCTTGGTTATCATTTTTTTTTGTTTCTTCAAGTCTGTTTGTTCAAATACAGTTCGTTATAATCAACAACACAAATTGTATCGTCAACATATGAAGAGATGCGTCATATAAAGCTATAATCTCAGCTTAAAAGAATTTATATAAAGAGATAACTATTTTCTTCCGTACGTAAAAGTTTAGTTTGGGGGTTAAGGCAAAACAAAAGTGTTTAGGTCAATCTAGAGAGCTTAAATTTAAATCAAACATGAAGAGGTTTATTTTAGTTTGTTTCGTTGCGTCAGTTTGTAAGTATTGAAATCTAGTTTTTAAAACATCGACAATTTTACTGCCGTTTGAGAGGTTAGTTCTGGAGTAGGGGATTATTTTGACATGTTACTTTGATTATAATAAACTTTGTAATCATTAAATAATTTGTTTACAATAAGACTTATTGTTGTCAATAATATTAACATTATTTTAACATCTAACATTTTAAATACGTTTTTTTTTCTCTGTTGATGTTGATTTTTTATGAATATCTCAATCAATCTTAATTTTATCACATATGCAATAATAGTCTTGACTGCCATTTTAAAAAAATCGCGCTGTTACACGCACGCACAACTGTAACTTCCACTAGCAACCTTTACTTTCAACTGTCACTTTTATGTGTAACTGTCACTTTTATGTGTAACTGTCACTTTTATGTGTAACTGTCACTTTTATGTGTAACTGTCACTTTTATGTGTAACTGTCACTTTTATGTGTAACTGTCACTTTTATGTGTAACTGTTACTTTTATGTGTAACTGTCACTTTTATGTGAAACTGTCACTTTTATGTGTAACTGTCACTTTCTCTAGTAATTATCACTTTCATTTCTAACTTGTTCTGTCTGTTTTCTATTCTCTCTTGTAATGCCTATAGTGATATCTGCACTGGAATAATCGCCTGACAGTGTTAAACAGATATTGGATATTTCTGTGATGTGTAAATATTTTTTGTATTCTTTACGCAAGATGCTTTTATTTTAAATAAATATGCATTTAAAATTGGTGGTGTATTGACTTCTTTTATGTTTTTTAAAAATTACTTTTTATAAAAACTTCATTTCAATACATAAACTGTGTATGTATACTAACAAAGGGTAGAATAAAGGAAACTCGGCTTACTAAAACATTGCTTTATTAACAGAATTAAAAGGATCCCATGACATAGCAATATTACACACAGTTGTTGAAGATTTCGGCCACTCGGTCGGGCTTAACTTCTGAATTTCGTTTTGCAATAAAAAAAAATAATGGGTCGACCGAAGTAAATTTGCGAGTGCGTTCAGAGAAGACTACCGGAAATGTATATACTATCTTTAAATAGGCTCGTGTTATTGTTTGAATTTAGTTATTGATTTATTTAAATTATATATAAAAACTTATAACAGTGAACATAACATCATGTAATTAGGTACTTAGAAGTATTTATATTCAATAATGTGAGCTCAGGTTTTGTTTCTCTAAATTCTAGATCTA